CTAAGTCAAAGTTGAAAAGGAGTGGCGATAAAGCATCTCCTTGTTTTAAACCATTCTGGATAGGAAATTTATCAGACAAATATTTACCTGCATGGACTTTACTATACATTTCGTTTAAACACATTTTAATCAACCTAACTAGTTTCATGGGTATCCCAAACTCTATTAGAACGTTGTACAGTACTTCTCTCCTAACTGAATCATAGGCTTTCTTGAAGTCTATGAATAGCTGATGTACTGTCTCATCGTACTTCCATTTCTTCTCCAATATCTGACGAATGCAAAAGATCTGATCTGTAGTTGATCTGTTACGTCAAAACCCACACTGATGATCCCCAATAATTTCATCTATATATGGACTTAACCTTGAGAGAAGAATATTGGACAAAATTTTATATGAAGTTGATAGCAGTGATATCCCCTGATAATTACTAGTCAGTTTTATCACCCTTCTTGTGAACTGGTACAATAATAGACTCCTTCCACTTATCAGGCAATTTTTCTTATGCCAAATAGAAGTAATTACATTGTGGATCTTAGAACATAATATTTCGCCTCCTGCTTGAATAAGTTCTGCCAGAATTTGATCACTGTCTGGCGATTTATACCGTTTCAATTTTGCAATAGCACTTTCAACCTCAAAAGGGCTAGGATCCGGCATGGCGTGTCCTCAGGTTGTAGATGGAGGAGATGCCCTTCAGTTTAGGAGGGAAGCTGTGAATATATTGAATAAGCAGTCACAGACAGCTGACAAGGGGTGGCCCTCCAGCTTGGGGCTAACAACTCCTCACTGTAAAAAATGATTATGTTACGAAAATTAACACAGCCTCGGACCTGGACAGATGATAAATACACATACACAGTAATTACAGACTTACTTAACAACTTATGAAAGGTATTGCATGGTGTTTATTAAAAATATAAACATGATTAAATCTTCATTTGTTTTCCAGATGGATTACCAGGTAGGGAAAAGTGAGGAATATTAAACAGGGATTTCACTATGTTGAAAAGTAGTGTATTTGGTAACATGTCTGCTTGTCAGAACAGTTCAGTCTCATTACATACAGATAATCAGTTAAATTTAACTGATGCATAGTTTTGTACAGGTGCAGCCAAATGAAGGACGTCCATCATGGTGGCTATTCCCAGATCTCTCACCTAGAACATTCATGTTTGTGATCCTTTGGCCACTGTTTGTTCATGCAGTCATCTTGTGGTTGAGGAAGAGACGTAGTGCACGCACTCAGCTCCTATGATTCCCTGTCACAGGTTCAGCTGCAACTTCCTATGATTGGTAGCAGTGCTGGTGCAATGGTAATCACCAACCAGGTCTTGTTCAAGATTTGTTCAGGACTCAAAGGGTGATATGTTAACACTGTTACTTTATTATATGTACCTTTCAGCCCTCATAATTGGGTGATAGTCATTCAAGATTCCAAGGATATATCATAAATGGAAGAAGGGTCTATGTTCATAGTATATGGCAGTGGTGCAAAATGTCATATTCATATATTCCTTGGATTGTGTCCTATGTAGCATCACAGGTATGGGGTGGATGAACCTAGAAAATTTGTTAACACAAAAACTAGTTTTCTCCACATTTCATATGTGTAACAGGCAACACATGAAACATATACTGTATCATAGCTTTAGAGGTTTTTAGTGTTTTTTTTTCAGCACACTGACTTAGGTGGACTGTGGTTTGCTGTCCTGTTACTTGGACTAAATTGTCAATGTGAGTCTAGGCATGTGAAATGTTGGAATCTAAGACATCTTTACAAGTAGAGAGAATAAGGTCCCTTATTCTGTAATTTTCTACATCTGGTTCATATTGCAATTTAAAATATTTGGTGCAGTGATTTGTTTTATTCTCTGCTTAATATTTAATGCATGAAATTATCTAGTCCATTTTGCATGAGGTTGATGTTCCCAGCACAAGTAGAGATTTTAAGTTAACATTTTGCTTAACTTTCTTTCCATTTCTTATATATGTCCTACTTAAGGCATTCTTTTCAAATGTGGCTGTAGTCCAAAGCAGGTGTGTTCATTTTCATGAATACCTTGAAGATGTTCTAGATGCAGCCTGATCTACACAAACCACAGGTATTATACTTAACAGTGCCTGGGTCAGTCAGATTCGGGTAGATCACCTTCACTTAGCTTGTGCTCAGTACAGTTCAAATTTGGAACACCTAGCTATATTGAACTGTGATGGTTATACTTTATAATAGGGTTATTTTATGTCCACTAAGTCAGAAATAATTTTGGATAACAAATTTAACTACTCAAAGGTTACTTTCATTTTTGTTACCAGTACCACTGAACAGATTCAGTACACACTTGTGTAGTCTTGTAAAGTTTCAACACTTTATTTGGTGTGTGGTGCATGTAACATAAGTGGAAAGGCAAAAATAGATTCTAAACCATGGTGTTATATTACCAAGAGTAAGAGAAATGTATAATTGATTTCTGATAGGATAAGTGGCTGGTAGAAGGAACCTGAACTCTGGTATTATCCACATTTTAATTAAGTCTCCCTTGATTGTAATTTTCAGTTCTTGTTTAATTTTTGTTGTGTCGTCTGGTGACAGTGTTGGATGAGTTTTGTAAATTGGTACACATGTTTAAGTATACATTCCCTATGTTAATGTTAAGATAGCCAGAAACAACATATTAAACCGTCAACTTCCCATCTACTATTAAGCTGCTTTGTGATAGCATAACAACATAGTTCCGGGTTTTCTATATGACAGGCACCAAATTAACACAAAAGTTGCACTGCTGTGAACTTTATCATCAGTTGCCTTAACACTGGATGGAAAATGGCTTCAAAAATGTTGATTAAAGGTGTGGTTGTGTTGTAATGTTGATTTGCACATTGTGAAGTACTGCCTTCACGTGTCACACCTTGGTTACTTATTGAGCTTCTCTGGATGCATTCTCTGTCCTGGCACATTTCTGTGGTCTCATTCATTTTCAAGTCATATTCGGATTAGAATATCCAAACTGTATAAAGGGTTTCAGCTGTTTCACTCTCTCAGTATATGTAAACCAGGCAATTTTATCATGACATGTTTATTTTGTTCATAAGGTAAAGACTGCAAGAGTGGTAACTGTTAGAATTAAATCCAGACTTCTTGAATATACTAGGCTAGAGGGCTGCTCCACTACTAGCAAAAGCAATTCTCTCTCCAGTCACCATTTCCATCGAGTTGTCTTTAATGAGTTTTCAGTGATCAGAATACCTGGAATGATGTCTTGTAAGGGTGGCTCATATGGGTAATGTTAACACTTCGCGGACCGGCGATTTAAATATTTAATATTTAAATCACCCTGGGGACCGGCATTTTTAAACATACTACCTTAACTTGTGCATTGTTCAATTTAAAAATTAATATAAAATCTCCTAATTAATTTTTTGAACTAAAATTTTTGGAGAACACTTACCAATGCTCCTGGACGTGCTTGAGGGTGTGATATTTCTGGAAACATTCCCCTTTGTGAAGTGGCATTACATAGAACTTGCAAATGTAGACATACTTCTTTTTTTGTGAATTGTGCAAACACAGCATTGCCTAGAAGGATTCTTCCTCTTGGAATGTTCACTCTTCACAATTTTCATGAGAGTATTTTTCGGCATATCACCCGAGAGTCGCCCTGGGCGGTCCACATGAGGCCATCGTGGGGTGGGAGCTGAAGGGTCCAGTCATACCAAGTCTTTGTGTGACCCAGGTTCTGCTGCCACCATCTGGACTGAGCCCAGGCCTTTGCCCATTCATCAGAAATGCTTTGTATTTCAATTTTGAATCAGAGTTTAAATTCTTTTAGAGTTTTTGCTGTCCCCGAAATGTTACTACGCGTAATGTTATTACCCGCATTATCGTCGGAGCTACTGTCACCTTTACTGTCTGTGGCCACAACTCTTTGTTGTCCCCCCATCACTGTCACTGTCTGAATGACAATCCATTACTCTGCGTCTCACAAGGCAGGCCAACTAGGTTATCNATCACCCGAGAGTCGCCCTGGGCGGTCCACATGAGGCCATCGTGGGGTGGGAGTTGAAGGGTCCAGTCATACCAAGTCTTTGTGTGACCCAGGTTCTGCTGCCACCATCTGGACTGAGCCCAGGCCTTTGCCCATTCATCAGAAATGCTTTGTATTTCAATTTTGAATCAGAGTTTAAATTCTTTTAGAGTTTTTGCTGTCCCCGAAATGTTACTACGCGTAATGTTATTACCCGCATTATCGTCGGAGCTACTGTCACCTTTACTGTCTGTGGCCACAACTCTTTGTTGTCCCCCCATCACTGTCACTGTCTGAATGACAATCCATTACTCTGCGTCTCACAAGGCAGGCCAACTAGGTTATCGGAGAATTTTTCCTTGATCCATTCTCCCCACTAGCCACTGGCTGATACACACAGCTTGAAGAAGGCAAAACATTTTCCTTTATAGTCGGTTAAGTAAACAGCGAGGTCAAGTTACTGACTGCTAACTAAACATTCCAGAGTCTCGTCACGCATCTGCAGGCGGTTGCGTGCAATGTAGGTGGCACCAGAGCGATGTATAGTGTGTTGCAACTTATCGTGTTTTAAAAACCTGTTTACACGCGAACGGTCCGCCATGTTTAAAAACCAAAACCCTTTTAAAGGGTGCACGGTCCGCAAAGTGTTAAGATGGAAGTTGATGATTTAATGTGGTGAGCCAAAACTACATATGGAGTTCAAGTAATCATTATGCAGTATCATACTTTAACCCTTTCCCGTCACGTTTTTATTAAAATTTCTGCAACCAGGTTGTCAGAGGTTTTAAAATGCCTGCCAAGCTACTAAGTGAAGTGTTTTGCACAAAAGTTGGTGCAACAAGGACATAAAGTTAAAAAGCCAAATGTGTACTTACATTTTGATTGTCCAATTCTTGGGCCAACTCAACGCTGCTATAATACCTGTCAGTGAAGTTGTGGTAGTCTTCAGTACCAGACACACTGAGTCATAGACTGTCCATCAAGGAAAGAACTATAAATGAATGAATGGTTTTTCAGAGTATGGTAATTTACATGTCACCTGTAATTTTTCTGTAATTTGGAATTACACTGTGAACATTACCAGTGTCACTTTCAGCTAATGCAAATATTTGTGATGCTCCACTTCATTGTTTTTTTGTGGGGGGGATTATAAGTTTTGAAAATTATTTTGCATTTGAACCCAACTGTTGATTAATCTGTTACAATGTTTTTACCTGGCACAGAATTTTTCTGAAATTGTTTCCATATATGTTTTATCACCCCATGTACTTTCTTGTCTTCTTGATAGCATGATTGCTTCATTTTCCCAGATGCATCTTTGCCCATTGTCATGTCTTCCTGCCCACCAACACGCTTATTTCTCTCTCTGACTTTCCGCCATTTCGGTGCTCAGTTCTTCACTTGCAGTTTCTCCTTCGATTTCCAAATTAATTTCATCATCATAGTCAATATCAAGCTCTTCACTTAAACATATCACTACTAGATTCTTCATCTGCATCACACAAGGGATTATATCTGGTTTCTTGAATCAAGAGAGCCATGGTTCAGCTGAATGTAAAAGCATGTTACTAACACGTGACATGGCATTCATTCTTCAAGAAATTCAAATTATGACTTCCAGGTGGCAGGAGGAGGCAGAGAAAACATTCATGCATGCATTGGTATAGTCTACAGTGCCAACTAGTGATGTATGTTCAAAATATGACCACAGAAACATGAAACAATCTTTGTCCATAGAAGCAAAATCATCATGTCAATTATAAATTGACATTTTAACAGTCACAGAACACAGTTTATAGGTGTGGCAGATTTTACAGATATACATATATAAAAAGGTGTGTCACGTAATATATACAAGTATATATATAATAAATAAGGGATACACTAAAAAATTCCTCAGCCCTGTTTTATCCATTTAGAATATCTGAGGTTTAGAAATTAGGTGAATCCAGAAATTAAAACAATACTTCCTCCTTCAATGCAAGTTTTCTCAGAAGTATTCCTAGTGACAGATATGAAGTGAAGCCCTGACAGGTTGTGATATCTGTCCAACACCTCAGGGGCAGTGACATGTAAGTATGGAGTAATGGTGCAACCATGATTCACAAGGGCATACTGAAGCTCCTGCCACACCATTCAGTGCAACCTTGATCTCACAGCGAGCATCTTTATCCCTGCACTGAAAAACTGCGATTTGGTATTGGTAGCTTTTATCCACATGCTTGTGCACACATGCAAACATAAATTTGAAGTAATCTTTTTGAGTAGAGATGTGAAACAAAGGATGGTTAACCCCATGACGGTTTCTATAAATGGCATTCTGCCTGCTCTCATAGCTGCATTTCACCAGTCAGGTGGTTGTGATGTCTACAGATGTCGTGCGGTACTGTGTATCATAGTGGCCATGACGTCTACAGATGTTACGCATACTGCTAACTACTCCATTGTAGATATAATGCCAGTCGGCAGTGCATATGTGTACTTGTACCTTGTGCTTGCAAGATGTTCTAGCTACTTCAGAGTGTGACAGAAGTTGTTGATTGCTTGATAGCTGTCCTGGATTTGAATTCTTTCAACTAAACATTATGGCAGGTCCTAGCAAGAAGGTGCGTGTAAGTGATAAGGTGTTTTTATGAACTGTTACAAGAGAATGAATATAGTGATATTTCAGAGTGAATATGGTAGTGATAGTGAAATAAATGTGAAAAGTGTCACAGTGAGCAAAGCTGGGAGTGTGTGTTTTCACTAGAGAGATTTGTCAGTAAACTACTATGATCATGTTTCATTTCTAAACACCAGACACCCGACAAGACAGTGTATATTGAATGTGAATGACTCAGGCATACATGAGATCACGTAGTCTGAACAGAAATGAAAGTCAGTGGTGACAGTGGCATATATTTTGAGAATAAAGCCAAAAGTATGGAATTAAAATATATATATACAAACTTAAACTTAATGGCTATAGAAATGAAAATATGGGTACGTGAAGTCTGGTAATTGGTCTTTCAGAGGCTTTTTGTTCCATAATTTTATACTGACACATGATTGAGATATTGCATTTTAAAGAGGGGGCAAAATTTATAAAATTAAATGCTGCAGTGACAAATCTAAATGTCCGGGGGAATTTAATGTGCCACTGCAGGTGAGATAGGAACATGGAACAAAACCACATGACTGGTTAAGTGGTAGCAACTCCCTGCTTCTGTAGTATTATTCTACTATTAGATGTTTTTTGGTGTGCATATATTTATAAGTAAAAAAAATGTAATTTTTGGTTAAAGGCCACAGAAGAGTACAAGACTGCCATCTGTTGATGACAAAATGAAATTTTAGCACAATCTAATCATGAACTTCAAAACATCTAGGAAACATAGTGTTAAGCAGAAAGGGTTGAGGACAGATCCACATGTCACTGGTTAATGAAATACATGAAAGAAGACTGTAAATTTAACTTCATAAATGACTTAAATTTGGCAGTCCTGTCAGTTATGAGCACTAGAAACACCTGTCAGTAAAGTGACTGGTGACAGTGTGTGATCCCTGGCAGGGATTTTTACTTCCTCATATATGTAGTATATATAGGAAAGTACTGTGATCAGGAAACAGGTCATTCTTGAGATTTTGATGGATTTGGACATTTTTAGCCCCTCATTAAGAAAACTCTGTTCTTGTGTGCCTCACTATCACCTGAATTGTTTGACAGATTTCATATTCATTGTTTAAGAATCTGTCATACACTGGTGCCTGGTGAATATGAGCATTCTTGCTTTAAAAACAGGGGCCCTTAAAGTGTACCCAAATAAACAAAATGTTGATTTCCTCAAAAATAGCTCTGATAGTCCTAAATAAATTTCAGTAGTTTATGGAGGTAATCTCCCTGCATAAGTCATATTTTCAGGAAAATAACAATGCATACCAGAGGCTCAAACATGAAATGTTGCTTTTGTAAAGAAACTGAAAACAACATTCTCAGAAATATAAACAACTTTTAATAGCATCATGCTGTAATAGACTCCACATTTTCAGACACCGACACCAAAGCGAGAAGAGTGGTCAGTGGCAGTAAACAGAACATAAGAGGACTTGCAACTCTCTTGGGTAACATGATTACAAAATTTTCCATACCCATACTACCAGAAATTGAACCCAGCCATCCAGACCGTAACACGGCTCAAGGGCTGTCAGATACAATTAACTTTTATCATCCAGGAATATGGAATTTTAAATATATCAGTACTGTTGGGTTGGCAGCTAGAGTTGAACTTGAGTAACAGTTCACCACCTGGAAATAGGGGATTTTTAAATATGGTATTACAGGGCTGGCAGCTGGACTTCAACTCTGACATAAGGGTATCAGTATTGAAAAAATGCATTGCTTGTTGAGATAGATCATAGTAATGCAACACATGGTCAGTAAAGGTTAAAGAACAATATACATTACAGAAAAATATACTTTTCATAAATAATTCATATTCTGTCACTGTTTCTGCACATCGGTCTCCTTATTTTTTATTCTCCTTTTTTTTTGTAAATGACACCAATCCTTGTTCAAAGCTGAAAATGAACAGAGACTATCATGACACGCTTCATAAAAGTAACATCGACTTAAGGGATTAAAATCTTACCTTTAATAAATTCTTAAGTAGGAGTATGCGGTAGCGTAGTTGGTCGAGGCACTATGCTACAAGCAGGAAGGTCATGGGATCGAATCCCAATGAAGTGAATTTTTTCAATTTACCTAATCCTTCCAGCTGCACTATGGCCCTGGGGTCACCCTCTAACAGATATGAACACCAGGAATCTTCCTGGGGGAGCCTCAACAGCTCACAAATTTATTTTAAAACTCAGTTTGTGAAGTTGAATATTGTGAGTTTTTATAATTATCTGTGCTACATTATAGTGATATACTGTGTACATTATATTGTGACTCAAAATTGCTTTAAAATAAAAGTGGAGTGATGTCTAGTCATAAGAATGGAAGTGCGGCTGCCATTGAAAATGTGGCTAAGAGACCATGCAAATTTATAACATCAGAAGAAAGAATGGATGGTGGGCAGTCACATCCTACTGTTTCTAGGGATTTAAATATGACCCCCTCCATTGTGACAACAGTCACAAAAAATGCTGATAAAATTAAGAGGTCACATCAACTTGTGTGAATAAAGTGTGACCTGAATGTGTATATGATTTTTGAGGATTTGAGGAAAAGCCAAAGATTGTAAATAAAGGAGCTAGGGCTCAACAGTATTGAGCCAGTCTCTTACAAATAAGGTACTGGAAGGTTTGGCTGCACAACTAAGTTGGAAGCAGCAGCAAGAAATTCTGGCTAGGGCTGACAGGTACCTGCACAGGTTAGGCAACACTGATCCTGACTGGGAACAGGGCTGTAAGAGGAGTCAATGCAGTGCTGCAGCCTTACTGCCATATTCTGCAGGAGAAGAGGCATCAAGCAGGGCAAGTAACCCTTCTTTCCTATTTTAAAAAGAAATCTGAAGAGCTTCCAACTGATCCAAGATGGCAGATGATTCAGTGTGATCCACAGTAATGCATTCCTCTCATCAGTAACACGTATATATATTTTATTACAGAATGTGATATGAAACCATGTATATAATGTTTATGATGAAAATATACAGATATTTCGTATGATTTTATGAATAGCAGTTTTTGTAAACCTGGAATGGATCCCATTGAAATACATTATAAATTGTCTTTCATTTAAGTTAATTTGGTACATGCTGATGTCTCCAGGATCCTAAACCCAGCATGAAACAAGAGTCTACTGTATGTGAATACAATTCTGTGTAGTATATGGTTTTATTTTTGTCACACTCAGAAGTGACAAAAATGTACACAGCACTTTTCGGAAAATTTTAAATAGTGAAGAAATAATTCACTACATCTTCAAGTTACTAACATTAAAATAATTATACATCAAAGTACTAGTGGAAGAACTCATTCTTTAACAAATGTTTTGAACACTTGCTAAACTGAAGTTATGCTGATAATAATTTGACTAGTTATGTCATAGTGCATTCCATGCAAAGACCTTCAATGGACGGTGGTGTACAAATCTATTAACAATCGTGGCACAAATAATAAAAATAATGGAAAGTTTTTCAGCTCATCCAACACAACATTTTTACAAGAGAATGATCAAAGTAACAATACATATTTTTGTTACCAGTTTGGAATATTTTCCAGAAGTGACAACTTTGGCTAATATATAAACAGCACCCAACTTGTGGATGTCACTGAGAGGTACCCCCGTGTGGAGGCGGAGTCGAATACCTTCATCGTGACCCTGCGAGTCGTAGGAGGCGACGAAAAGGGAAGTCTCAAATCTGAGACAGTAAAATATGGTTGCAAGTTCCATGGGACTCAGACCCAAGAAAGACTGCACTGGCAAGGGCCAGCATCATATACAAAAGGCAGGCCCGTCCTCTCATCAGAGAGGGCGCCTCACAAAAACAAGACCATAAATGCCAAACAGTACTAAATATCTGGTCATGAGCCCCACATGGGGCTTGACACCAAGACTTACTGACTGAATGACTGACTGACTGACCGTCAGTTGCAATGTGACTTGGACTTGGATGTCACTTGTACACTGTGTGGCAGTATTTACAATACAAAATTGTTCTACATAAATGAGATGTAAATTATATCCCTAGAAGGTTAAGCCACTAGTAACCTCAATGTTCACAACCCAACCTTCAGAAAAACGAGAAGAGTGCCCATTCATACCCTAAATTATTTACAAAATTCGTGAGCTCAAAAGAGTCCTAAATAAGTCAGTATTTTTCTCATATGCACTGGCCAGAATTAAATTCGAAAGTGTATGTCCCCCCACCCATATGCGTGCGCTGCATTTCTTGGCCACAATGCCACGAATTAATAACACATTAAAAGCTTGGCAATGTATACAATACCTTCTAACGTCTCCAAATTTTCTGCCATTGTTTCAAGGTCTTTACGAATAAACTGCATCATCTCTAAACAGCGGTCCATATCAATTCGCATTTCTTTTAGTGTTTCTAACTCCAATACCAGGTTCCCCTAAAATAACAAAATCATTCCGAATTTGGCTTTTACATAAAACACAGCAAGGTTAGGTAATCATTCAAGATACAAACATGTCATTTAGGGATCTCTTAATGAACAAAGTACGTGTAATTTAATAATTCTATCTACCATTGCATCAGCATCTCGCATTTTAATGTCAATACTACTGTATTTCAGAGGCAAAACTGTACAACTCCTCTACCATACACACAACAAAACTTAGACGTCCTAGACAGGCAAGCTCAGCCTCAGACGTCACAATCGTCACAATACGCCACAACGGCCGCAACACGCACAACACTACCGCTCCCTGTCAAAAATTCGGTACAGCCAACTTGACTTTCCAGGGATACCAATGTCAGAAGAAATATACCACTTACTACAATTTCTGCTTGAAGTCTTTTTATGTCGGTGGTTACGCGGGCGGTTTTCCAGCTTTCACTTCTTCCCTGTTGAACTAATTTCAACAAAGTTTTCACACCATAATCTCTCTTAGAATGGAAAGCCACAAAATATATAACAAAAATGGTTTGTAAGTTCTGGAGATTTTTCTTCTTTTAATGGCCATTGTTGATCGTTCTTGATGGCATCTTTTTCAAACTTAGATTTCATCAAACATTATTTTTGCATGTTCCCAGAATGGTTAGAAAAATAACGCTGTGTCGCTAACGTTTTTAAAAATATCACGTTTTTAGTGACTACAGAGGGAGTTTGGATTGGTAATTGGATTTATTGAACTCTTACAGGTCAGTGACTGTAAGTAATTAGAATCGGTTCACTAATTCAAACACTTTACAGTTCATAAGAGCACATACCTAAGTCTTCTCAGCCTGCTGTGTCTTCACCAGTCTTCTGGTAATGGCTTCCAATGGCAGACATTCCTGAGTCTGAGTCTTATGACTGACAGTCAGCCAGTCTGGCTTGGAATAAAGCACCCCACTGGGCTTATGACCAAATTTTTATTACTGTCAGACAGTTAAGAGTTTTGTTGAAGTGGGGCACACTCTCTGACAAGAGGACAGGTCTGTTGTTTACAATAGCTGCTGGCCCTTGCCAGCACAATCATTCCCTGGTCTGAGTCCTGTGGGACTTGCAACCATATTTTACTGTCTCAGATTTGAGACTTCCCTTTTCATTGCCTCCTATGACTCACAGGGCCATGGTGAAGGTATTCAACCCCGCCTCCATATGGGATAAACTGCCAGTCAAAGTCAAAGTCAAACGACTGACAGTCAGTTGACCAGTCTGCCTTAGAATAAAGCACCCATCTGGAGCTTAAAACCAGATCTTAAGTACTGTCAGACAGTTGCAGGTTTGTTGATGTGGGGAGCTCTCTCTGATGAGAGGACAGGTCTGTCATTTGCCAGAGTCACAGTCAGCAGTAATAAGTCTGTTATCAATATGTACAGTTTACATTTTACATGTTATTAAATGTATGTATATACAACATATACTCGTACAAAGCCTCTATCAGTCCAGGCTCAGTACAGCAGGTATCAATAATACCTCCTGCTACAACAGCAGACTAGTCAGTTGAATGGTTGTATGCTTGACCACCGCCAAGTTTAAGCCTCTTATATTTATAACTGCATTATATAGCTTTGGCACCGACCACACAGAAAAGACCTCTTCTGTTGTCAGATTAGTTGCATAACCTAGGAACTAGTCACATGAGGACACAGCTCCTGTTACTTAGTGATGGCTGTTGTGTAGTTGCTTATTTCGCAGTCTTAGCCTAGCAACGGGTGTACATGCCACAATATTGAATTTTGAAAATGACTATCTGATGTTTCCAAATTCAACCATAAAATTGTTTGTATTTACCAAATATTCTTCATTGTTTGTGTCAGCCTAACGAAGGATATATGGAATGCAAATTCAATCTACTGTACTATACTCTCCTCTGCAGTTCTCTGGAAATTACCAAATTGTGGGACACGAGCTGTATACTGCAACTACATCTAAATATAGGCAGGGCTTGAGGTGGGGCGGGATGGCATCCCGGTTCTTTTCTAGATGGCTTAAAAGCATCCCTTTACTTCTTTGGCAGTAAATGCAATGTACAATACCCAGGGCTTGAGGTGGGGCGGGATGTTGCAGGATGGCATCCCGGTTCTATTTTCATTCCACCTCAAGCACTGAATATAGGTACTGTTACAGGTTGCCTTATGCTTAAGAACAATGCACTGGGAACAAACTGGGAGAGTGGAAGTAGAACTACACCCATTCCGAAGTTCTGCTTTAGATGGATGGAAGTGAGTGATCAAATTCATGCTCTGACTGCCTTACTGTCTCCATTGGATATGAGGCTGGGTGATTCCAGAGTTGGTCTGGATGTGGTGGTGAGAGATAGTTCTGCCCCTGTCAAAGACTGAAATCTGATCATCAAGGTTATAGCTAGTCACTTTATTGACTGAGCTATCCCAGCTCACAAATATACTGTCACCTTGACCTGTAGCCCACTGAGAACTTAATAAAATCACAAGGGCATTTCCTGAAAAATAAAATCACAATGGCATATCCTGAATATTCCATGCTGTTTTCCTGCAAAATATGTTGATCCTATTGAAATTTATTTCACAGTTTCTAAGCACTCCATAGTCTCAGACTACCTACAACATACTGTGGTTTACATGTATTAGAAGACAGTTCTTTCAGTTTTACAAATAGGACATGCCTGAGTTGACAAACTTCTGTAGAGGCTGGCCTTTGCTAGTATGGCAGTTCTCAGTGCAGTATGTGTTGTAGGCAGGGCAGTGAGATGGTATGGAAATTGAGTATCCTGCTCATTCCCACATCTTGCTAGAGAATTTGTGTTGGTAGGGATGTACGAACTTGGCTTGCATCTCACTCTCCAGTCCTCTGAAATGTTAACATTTGAAGCCATGCCCTTGGGTCATGTTCAGGAACATTTTGTTGTGACATAATAAAGGTAAAAAGGATATTGCTATCCCTGTAACAGGCTGTAAAGACCCAAAGGGTGGTGAGACCTCAAGGCTCCCACATTTTCTCTAGACAATTGGCTCACAGATTTTGCCCTGAGTTTAAAGAAGGGCATAGAGTTAATTACGAAATTAGAGAAAGATGCCTCTGTAAAATGATTAAGTGAAGAATTTGGGATATGTAAATTTGTCATTTGTCATTTGTAAATCTATCATATATGCTCTTAAGAAACAGAGTACTTGCTTAAATTTTATGCTGACTGTTGTATTTCAATTAATGGACAATAAAAGGCTTTACGCCAAGCAAATACTGCTGATGGGGATAAAGTGTTGCTTGAATGGATTAGGCAGGGTCAGAATGAAAAGTCACCACTTGATTGCTCCAATGTCATGGGCATATGAACTCTATGTGAATATTCATCTGAGTAGCAGTTTTAAGCAACAACATGGCCATTGTTTTCTGAAAGTATATGGGGAGAAGGCTTCTGCTGAACCATAAAGCTACAGAAGCATATTTGAACGAATAATTTGATGCTTTATCTTGTATTTTGTGGGCATGCTAGGCCTAGAACCATAAATCAAGCCTAGCTTGGGCCATAGACCTCCTGGGTAATGTCTAATGTGTGTACCACTGAGAAGAATGAAACTTTCATCAGAAATATTTAATGTCAGGATTATTTTTTTGTGCTTCTGATCTCACTCTGCATCTGACAGAATGGGAAATTGACAATGGTTTAACTAACAGTACTTTATGGAACAAGTTTGCCCCTGACTAAGTGGCACATGGAATACTGCATGAGAGTTTATTCAAGGAACTATTGAGTTGTAATGGTCTGTAATAGAAACTCTTGTTCTGGAATCCAGTTTCAAATATGCATTGTTCTGAACTGTGTAAGTTTATATAATTTATTAAAACCAGAGAATTGTTTCACTCACTACCACATGTGCCTACAATATAATGATTTGGATGAGTTTTGTATATAAGATCAGTCACGTCAGTCAAGACTCATTTTTAATTTCACACTGGGCGATCTGGCAATGCTATTGCTTTGGAATGTTGGGTGATTCAACAAGCCAGAGTATTTGTTGAACAGCAGTGAACAGCAGCTTGTTAGATCACTGTGTGTCATCAGCTTCATCCAAACATGAAAATGGAGCATACAAAGGAACAAAGAGTGAATGTGAATTTTTGTGTTAAACTGCAGAAATCGCCAAGTGAAACTTTAGGGATTTTAAAAACAGTTTGTGGCGAATCCCCAGGCCAAAGAAGCAGCAGATGTCAAAATCGAAAGTCATAACATTGTTGATATGCTTTCTCATCATCAGGAATATCATCCACTTTGAATTTGTACCCAATGGAACCACTGTTAAGCAGACATTCTGTGTGGACGTTTTTGAAAAGGCTTATTGATGCTGTGAAGCATAAGCAAGGAGAGTTGTGAATAGACCGCTCGTTGACTCTTCACCAAGACAACGTGCTGGCACATTCTTTGTTTTGAATGTTGAAGTTTTTAGCAGGAAAACTATCTCTGCCATGGATCATCCAGTGTACTCTCCTGACTTGGCTCCAGCTGACTTCTGGCTGTTTCCAAAACTCAAGAATGTGCTGAAAGGAAAGTGTTTCTAGGACATTCAGGATCTTGAAGACAATAAATCATCCATGAAAAAATTTTGACAGACATCCTGTTCAGGATTTTAAAAACTGTTTTGAACAATGGCTGAAGTACTAGGAACATTGTAAAGAATTGGCGATAGATAAGTTGTCCCTGTGCTTAACTAATTAAGCACTATACCCTGAAGACAAATGGGGGAATGGATGTATAGACCCACAGTTTCTTGACCTCAGCATCAGTGAGAGGTGAGTGGTCAGCTTCATTCCCCTGCCACTTTACTCCAGGGAAAAGAGCCCCCAGTACCCATTGGATAGGAGGTTTGGTGGACCCCAGAGCCAGTCTGGATGACTTCAAGAAGAGAAAATTCTTGCCCACACCAGGACTCGAACTCTGACCCTTCAGTCATTCAGCCTGTAGCCAGTTGCTATACTGACTATGCTATCCCGGCTCCCACTGGAGGTAGATTACTTTGAAAAATTCTAGGTTGCTAATATCTGCATCTCTTAAAATAAAGTTTTGAAAATTAGTCTTGAAACTTATTTGCCCATTCTGTACATCTTTTGGTTGTTGAAAAGAAGACCGACAGATGAAATTTTCTGAACTTAGAATGATAGCATGCACCTCTGTAGTGGACAGTAATTAAAACATACACTCACTTGTGTGGTACCCGACAGACCATCTGGGGCAGAGTCCTGTTGGATATCTTATTCTTAAATATAACTGAATCATAGAGTGGTTGTGTGTGTATGCTCAGCTGTGGTATCTGGTCCATCGTGTAGAATGTTACAGCATCATTTCTGGCAATTCCATGTATCTGATCATCTGAGAATTTTGCATTTGTGAAGTGTGTTGTGCTTACATATGGATCCAGGTACCTTGCAGAACTGTTCATATCCAGCAGCACTGGAGGCTGTTTGTTGTGACCCAGGTCTTGACACTGGAATTTAACCACAGATATTTTAATATAGACTTTTACATACAGATTATTTGCTACTACAGTAAAACATTATTTATTTTGTCTGAAGAAACCTGATTTGTAAAATCAGACACAAGATCTTCCTTTGGAACCCTTGTAGCTGTGTTTGTTTGTCCCCCCAGAATTTTATACCCTGATTTTGTTGTAGACCTGACCATTATAGGTGCTAATTGGCTGAATTTGTGAGTTGTTAAAACATATTGGTATTACAGTGTGTAGAGCTGTTACCATGTGACGACCACGAGATAAGCAAATATACCAGAGACCTTTCTAGGCAAGGGCCGCAAAATGGGCAGTGGAACAATGCCCATTGTTAGGTAGCAGATTCTTAATAATGCCGAGAGGTTGTAAGCAAGATGAGGTTTAGAGCTAAGTTTGTAGATAGTCAGGCAGTGAAGAGAAGACTAGGAGGTTTGTGTGAAATGGCCACAAGTTATTTGCAAAAACACTCAGCTGAAAGTCCAGCTGTGAAGAAAAGATTTTATGTGTGATATTTGGAATGTGTAATCCCGTGAGACTGATATACAGGGGATGGACAAAAATATGGAAACACCTCATGAAATGCATGCCTGAATTGAAGTGTTTATTTTAGTGACGTTTGTAGGTCATGCTGTCGTATCTGCCCAACACCACTACCTGTATAACCTCCGCAATATGTTTCAAGCGTCATTTGTTGTCGAGACAGTGTTCCATGCAATTTTTTGTGCATCACGTCAGAGCTAACAGAATTCGAACACGGGCAAATTGTTGGGGCCCATATGGTGGGTGCTTCCGTAACCAAGGTAGCCAAGGTTTTTGGTGTTTCGTGAGGCACAGTATCCAAGATTATGACCACATACAGGAGGACTGAAAAAACCGTATCCGATAAACAACAGCATGGACGGAAATGTGTGTTGAGTGATCGAGACAGACGAACATTGCGTAGGATTGTGACGAAAAATAAGAAGACTACAGCTGCAAAAGTGACTGCTGAACTGAATGTTACGCTCACAAACCCTGTCAGCACCAAAACAGAATGAAGGGAACTCCACAAGCAGGGTATTTCTGGATGAGCTGCAATTCCAAAGGCACTCATCAATGATGAAAATGCCACTAAGAGGACAGTGTGGTGCCGAAGTCATAAAACCTGGACTATGGTAGACAGTCACTTGGTCGGATGAGTCCACCTTCACACTGTTTCCGACTTCTGGCCGAGTTTACGTCTGGAAAACGCATCCCAAGCTTACGATCCAGATTATTTGCTGCCAAGAGTGAAACATGGCGGGGGTTCGATCATGGTATGGGCAGCCATATCGTGGTATTCTGTTGGACCCATCATTACCCTGCAAGGTCACGTCACTGCCAACGACTATGTGACCAGTTTGGGCGACCAGGTCCATCCCGTGGTGCAAAGTTTGTTCCCTAATTGTGATGCCATTTACCAAGCCAACAATGCCTGTGTTCACATAGCTCACATCGTCCAGGACTGGTTTTCTGAGAACGAAGATGAAGTGTCACGTCTGCCATGGCCCCTACAATTGCCAGATATCAATATTATTTAGCCTTTGTGGTCTGTTTTGGAGAGCAATCTGCTTGTGCACTATACACCTCCATCATCGATAACAGAACTACCATTTTTTTCAGGAAGAATGATACAAGATTCCCTTGCAAATCATACAGGACCTCTATTTATCCATTCCAAGGAGACTGCAAGCAGTTCTGCAGGCCAGAGGTTGTCCTACACCATATTAGTCATGGTAATGTGTTTTTTGTTGGGTGTTCCCATATTTTTGTTCATCCCCTGTAGTTCCTGTGTTAATATGTGTTGCTAGGAAACAGCTAGTGGAGACTGTAATAGACTGAGGACACTAGTTTGTGTGTGCCAGTGATCTGTAATGTGTAGTCAAGAGTCATAAGCATATAAGTGGTCAATAAATCGAGTCACCAATCCAAACTCCATCTGTAGTCAATCCATACTAGGTGACAGTGTATTTTAATTTTCTCCAACATTACAAGCAACATAATCCATAGTTTATTCAAGTTTGTTGATTAATGATGCTATCAGTATCAAGACTATATAGTGTTTACTAATCCATAATCATCAGGCCTTTCTCAAGAACTAGCCTTCATAACATCCACATAAGAGGGTGTGCAGATTTATGTAAAATCATTTGCACTGGGTGAAAGATGTGTGGGTATATCATGACAGTGATGCTGTTATTGAGGTAGGTGCTTTGAAATCAAGGAATGCTTTATTGATTAAATGTCAGAATTAGTTGAGAATCATGTACCATGCGGAACAAGAACTGATGCTGGTGCCTGACAGCATCTGCGTTAGTTCTGACTTGATCATGTGATATGTTACAAGGATATTGAGTATATGATATGAGTGCATATGTTGACATTTGGAAGTAAACAAATTTAACCCAAAATTAAAACCCGACTTAGCACCCTAACCAAATCTAAATACATGACCCAACCAAACCTAGCCTAATATAACAACCTAACCTAACCCCAGATCACTGATCCCATTGAAAGGGTTAGGGCAGCTAATTCAATACAGAATGACATGCCCATAATTAAGCTACATACAAGAATGTGAAAATTTATGTGAAAGTGTATTTGCAAGAGCAATTGTACATGAGAATGACATGACAGTGGTGCTGTTAATGAAGCAGGAACTTCAGAATTGAACAATGCTTTATTGGATACTTTTCAGAAGGGAATGTGAAATCTGAGACCATGCAGATCTAAACATTGACACTCACACCTAAACCAACAGAGGCTCTATGACAGCTTCAGCAGTGTCAATGTGATATGTTACAAGAACAATAATAGCCATGTACTGGTATGAGTACTTGTGTCTATGATACTAGTGAGAGTAATAAGAGAAGCAAAGAGACTGTATTATCAGAAATTAATAAGTAACTCAGAAAATAAAATACAATTAACTTGGAAGATTATCAATAAGGAAAGTGGAAAAAACCAGGTCTCGCATAAAGTAACAGAATTGCAAGTGGGGAAAAGGAAAGTAATGGATCCTAAGGAATTAGTGAGAATATTTAATAAACATTTTACAACTGTAACCGAGAACTTGGCAACAAAAAATGCTGATAAAAATGAGGCAATTAAATTATTAAATACTCTTAAGTATGATAACTTGCCTGAATTGAAATGAATACCCGTAACTGAGGCGGAAATAAAGAACATACTTAAGACACTAAAATCGAAAAACTCTACAGGTTATGATGGTATTTCTAGCAGAATATTAAAATATAGCACTGATCAAATAAGTAAACCACTTGGACATATACTTAATGCATCACTTGAACGTGGAATTTTTCCTGATAGAATGAAATTTGCGTCAGTAAGACCTTTACACAAAACAGGTGAGAAGGTCGTTATGGCAAATTATAGACCAATATCACTGTTAATAATCTTCTCCAAGATATTTGAAAAAGCGATGTATAGCAGGATAAAGCAGCACTTACATACAAATAATTTAATTTCATCTGCTCAGTTTGGATTTAGAGAAAATAGAAGTACGGAAACTGCAATCTATGCCCTAACTCATCATATATTAGAAACTTTGGAACGACACCATCATTCATTAGGAATTTTCTGTGATTTGACAAAGGCTTTTGATTGTGTGGTTCATGATAGCCTTTTGAGCAAGCTGGCAGCATATGAACTTGGTGGTAAAACTTTAACATGGCTGAAGTCATATTTGGGAAACAGAAGGCAAAGAGTGGAATTGTATACTAATGGGAATGAAAAATGTTGTTCAGGATGGGAGATTGTTGAATATGGAGTGCTGCAGGGCTCGATTTTCGGTCCCTTGCTGCTTCTTTTATATATCAATGACCTGTCATCAGCATTAAATACTGATAATAAGTTATTGTTGTATGCAGACGATACAAGCATATTAGTATCAGGCATTGATATTGATGAAATCCAAGTAAGGTCTAACATTGTGTTGAATTCTTTGAGCCATTAGTTTGCATGTAATGGCCTGTCTCTAAATCTGAAAAAAACTAAAGTGTTAAAATTTGATACAGTTAATCGAGATAATATGTCTATACATTTAAAGTTTAATGATGAGATATTGCATGAGGAAACCCACGTTAAATTCTTGGGCACTGAAACTGATAAGACCGTGAATTGGAAGTCACACATTGAATCGATGCTGTCTAGATTGGGCAAGGCATGCTTTGCAATAAGAAACATGAAACTGTATAGCAATATTGAAACACTAAGGATGATTCACCACGCATATTTTCATTCAATTATGAGATATGGGATAGTATTTTGGGGAAACTTGTTGGAGGCTAAGAAGATTTTTCTTTTACAAAAGAAGGCCGTCAGAATAATGATGGGAATGAAACCCAGAGAATCATGTAGAACAGTTTTTAAAAAATTAAAAATTCCGACATTGGCTTCTCAATATATATTATCTTTAATGATACTAATGATAAACAATTTGGGGTATTATACTTTTAATCATACAGTTCATGGTAAATCAACAAGACAAGTTAGAAACTTACATGTTCCTCAATTACATCTAGCAAAGAGGCAAAAAGGGGTCTATTGCATGAGTGTAAAAGTTTTTAATAGTTTGCCTGATTTTTTAATTTAGTTAGTACATAATAAAAACAGTTTATTGGGAAACTGAAAGATGTATTGCTTCAAAACCCTTCTTATACTGTTGAGGAATTCTTGCTTTTCTGTCAAGACCTGCGGCTAAGGAAAAGAGGTGTCTGACAGTGCACACTTCACTAAACACCATTTATTTATTTATTTATGTCCTTGGCTGTGCTTATATATACTTGCTGCAATTTGTATTGCCTTTTAACTATTGTATGTGTTTTTGACAAGTATGGATTATATATGCTAGTGATTTTATTTGTGAATGTATAAGTGTCCAATGTTTTGTTTGCTTCTTGACATGTTTTATATTCGGTGCCGGTGGCACATTTATGAATATTTTAAAGAAACGCAAATGTATATGTAGGTATGGAAGCAGACAAATTTAATCCAATATGAAAATGCAACAATACATCCTAATATAATCAAACCACCTCACCTAAAATGCAAGGCAAACCTAAGCCATAATTTAAAGAGTTGTAATTTTATACAAAAAGAACTGAAGCTTGAGATTACCAGAGGAATGATGCCATTACCAGTGCAGATGTTTTGAAATTGTGGAATGTTTTGTCAAATATGTGTCAGAATGGAGTAGAAAATTTGAAACACTCATATCTCAGATTGGAGCTGGTACTAGCACCCAAATTGGTTTCAATTGGTGATATATTACGAGGACAATGGTGACTGTACACTGCCATGAGCACGTACATCTGTAATTTGTGGAAGTTAAAAAATCTGATAATTAAAACCCAATATCACACATAACCTAATATAATAATCCTTAGCAAGACCTATGACAATTAACCTATATAAAGCAACACAACCCATACTTGAAACCTAGAAGTGCTAATCCTCAGCTGCTATAAAAGCACATCAGAAGGCATGATCATTAGACTGTATGTTTTCATTTACACATTTGTCTGCTTCAATAAATTCTGAGCACAGTTCTTTGGGCCATCATTATTATTAACAATTCACTGCTTTCTAGATAGTATGGATTTAATAATGTACCACCAGAAGGATCTCTCTTATCTTTGTGGCCAGTGTTCACTTCACAAACTCATTTGTTTTTAAACATTTAAATCTTTGGTTTTTATACCCATTAATCAGAAGGTGATGTGAAATGTGGAATACTGTTGGACCACAAATCAAAAATATCCTGAAAATTATTTTACTGTGTGAACTCACATTGCACACAGATAGTGTTTCTGGGGCATACACTTTCTCCACCAGAGGCATCACATCCTTCTGAATATACTGTGATGAATACTCAGTGGCCTCCCTCTTCAGTGGAAGCCAGTTGCTCATCCTCAACTGCAAACAGGAATCACATCAGTGAGGGCTGTGTGATTGTAAAGCAAACTTGCACTATTGACATATATGAGTATCTTGAGGAAAATTTGGTTTTAGTTATTAGCATGAAATCAGGCTGGCTGTGGAACTACAAGAAAATAAGTAATAGCAATTGTAATTTTCATGTATCGTATAAGCATCAAAGTTTTCATTATTGAAAGCAAGGCAATTTTGGAAAAAATGAATAAATGATATCCTTTTCATAAGTGTTTCCATCTATTTACAGTGTTCTCTCAGACTTACAAATGACTAATTATTTAATTCAATTATTTATTCCAGGGCAAAGTTTCAGCTAGTGTAAATTTAGTGACATACCTAACCTTAAAGTTTATGCCTTCAGAATATGTATAGTTTTCAGAATACTAAGAATATTTTATAGAGACTATGTAAACATATTTATAACCTGCATCAATATAAAATTCATTTTCCTAGCTTCCACCAGGTATCAGTCTCAAGTCAGTGTAAAGTTTTATCTGTGTATGTTGTCAAAGGATTAATTTAAATGAAAATTGGGGGACCCAAGGGTGCCACTTTGTCGTGCATCAGAGCTGCGTCCTAGTAGGGTACATTCCTTTTGAAAACGATGGCGAAAATAGTGGATAGGCATATCATGGACACATCCTCTACACCTAAACCAGCATGCCTACCAGACAGGTAAATCTACCAAAAGCGCAATACATAATGTGGTAACATGCATAAGAAGTGTGATTGAACACAAAGATATTGCCTTAGGAGCATTCATTGACATAGAGGGAGCTTTCGATAGAACCTCATTTGATATAATCAAACAGGCCACTGGAAAGCATGGCATAGAGCCAGCAATATGCAGGTGGATCAGTGCTATGCTGGAAAGCAGAACCATAGATGCTACATTATCAGGAGAGACCCCGGGGGCGTCCATGTCTAGGGGGTGTCTGCAGGGGGCCATGCTCTTGCCTCTGCTGTGGAGCCTGGTCGTTGACAATCTACTGTGGGGACTTAATGATGATGAGTATTATACAGTAGGATATGCTGATGACATAGCAATCATCATAAACGGAAAATTCCTTTCGACAGTATCAGAGCCTCTTCAAACAGCTCTGTACATGGTCCAATGATGGTGTGAAAGAACAAGCCTTTCCATCAATCCTAATAAGACGGTAATTATACCGTTTACCAGGAAGATAAATATAAAGGGCCTTAAGGAACCAACCCTCTTCAGTAAGACGATCCAGCTCTCCAGCGATGTCAAGTACCTTGGTCTAGTATTAGACAAGGGACTGACATGGAAAAAGCAGCTGGACAAGGTCATCAATAAAGCCTATAAGGCTTTTTGGACGTGCAGAAGCATGTTTGGTAAAACTTGGGGACTGCAGCCGCACGTTGTGCATTGGATATACACTGCGGTTGTAAGACCCATAATTACATATGGCGCCACAGTATGGTGGCCCAGAGTTAAACTCAAGACAAGCAAGGCAGAACTTAGCAAATTGCAAAGGTTGGCTTGCTTGGGTATCACAGGAGCAATTCAAACAAACATCTCCAACAGCTGCACTGGAGATACTTCTTGGACTCCCCCCATTGCTTATACAGTTGAGGCAGAGGCAAGGGCAGGAATCTACCATATCCAGTGCAATGATCAATGGAAACCTAGATCCGATGGTTTCTGACATGCATACATAACTCAGGACATGAAAAAAGAACCCATATTACAAATGGGGTCTGACAAAATGATACTGAGACATGTATACAAAAAACCCTTCACAGTAGGATTTCCTGACAGGAGTGAATGGGGAGACGGGTTTCAGCCCGATAGAAAACAGGGACTGATCTGGTATACAGATGGTTCCAAGATAAATAAGGGCAGTGGAGCTGGTGTGTTCTGCTATGTCATGAGACAGAAACTTAGGTTCAGCCTTGGGCAGTACACGACAGTATTCCAGGCAGAAGTATATGCCATTCGGGCACGTATTATGGAGAATTTAGATAGGAACTACAGAAATAGGAACATCTACATTCTATCTGACAGCCAAGCTGCACTTAAAGCGCTTGACAGACACCAGATCAACTCAAAACTGGTCTGGGATTTCCACCAAACTCTCATGGAACTGGCCAAACATAACAGGGAACGACTGATATGGGTGCCGGGACATGAGGGTATTGCTGGAAACGAAATAGCAGACCAATTGGCCAAGATTGGAGCTGAACATCCATTCATAGGACGTGAGCCAGCCTGTGGCATCTCTATAGGGGTTGCCAGAAAGGCAATCAAGGACTGGACAAATATGAATCACAAGAAATACTGGGGATCCTTGACTGGACTCAGGCAAGCAAAGAGACTCATATGAGGACCCTCTACTAAAAGAGTGAAGGAACTGTTGAAGTTAAACAGGAACCAGCTACGATGGGTGGCAGGACTACTTACAGGGCACTGTCACCTCAAAGGACACCTCTTCAAACTGGGACTAAGTAACAGTCCCACTTGTGAGAGGTGTCAAGAAGAAAATGAAACTGCCACACATATCCTGTGCAAATGTGAGGCCTTAACTTATTTAAGATTATGTCACTTGGGTGAATATTTTATGGAACTAAGTGACTATTTCAACGTCCCCACATACAAAATCCTGCACTTCATTCGGAGCGCAGCATTTCTGAGGGGATAATCAGAAGGGGAAGCACAATAGATCACTGTGGTCGTGGTGCAAGGGCCAAGAAGGCCCACTCCTTATACATTCATTCATTCATAGTATAGTACGAGTACATTACATTTATTATACATTGCCTTACATATTTAAAGTTTTAGTGTGATTTCAAATGCATTGAACATAAATTATATTTTATAAGTGCATTATCAAGGAAATGGAGGCAGCTCCTAGATGGAATGAAATGGTTTCAAAATTGTATATAATAACCTGAAAAAAGACACAGAAAAAGCGATGGATGATAACAGTAGCTACTTCAGTGGTAATTATTTCATTATATTTTCTACAGAATCTGAACAGATAAATTCATTATGTCATGAAGCATAATAAATCCATTCAGATCATTCACAAATATCCATTAAGAATATAAAAACCTAATTTTGCCTAGCAGTGTGATCAACATTAAATCACTACTAGAATTTATTTTCAGTTATTTGCCATCCACCATGCAGCAATATCAAGATTTAAAATTCATCACTTCACTACATGTTCTAACCTACTCGGCCACCATCAGGTGCATTGAAATTCAGTGGAACCGCTACTCCTTCCATACAACTGCAATTAGTATTTTCGTGTTTACAGTGTTTTTAAATGAAGTCAGTGTAGTTCCTCCTTCTATGCCACATGTATTGTGTTTTATTTTGATGTGCCTATTGCCTATCAAGTGTGCAGTGTAATGTAAATTCTAATACCAACTGCAAGAAGACACTAAGATACAACATTAGATCACCACATATTACAAGCTGCGAGCTGCCCTTATTGGCTAATGAAACTAATCTAAGAACCTTTTCTCTTTCTGACTTCAGTATACTTTTTCATTTGTATTGATTGAGCACTATTCAGGGTACATGATGAGGTACTAATTCCTTCTCTCTAACTGAACAATGTAGTTCAGTAGTTAGGACTTCTGCTTCTTATTCAGGAAGTCCCAGATTCAACTCTTGGCCCAGTGACTGCCTTTCTTGTCCGAGATTTTTATGGGTTTGCACATCCATTCCAAGCAAATGACAGGACAGGAGCTTAAATTATACCATGAACAGTTCATTCCAAATCCTTTGACAATTCAATATTCACTAACCATCCTATCATTCAAACCACATAAGCTGAGTGATTGATAGTGTTGCAAAACAACTGGAGTAATCATTGTTGTGACTTAACAACTCACTTCTACTCTTATGAATCTCCTTACCTTCTCTTCTGTGTTCTTTATGAATGTTTGCCTTGCACATAATACTGGTATCTCTGACATCTCTATATTTTTATGGACATTGTACTTCAAGTTATATGCATCATTGTTGGTAGAGATGTAAGCCTTGCTCAAAAGCTCAGGGTCATGACTTTTGAGGTGTGAGAGCTGTGGTCTTTCCATATCCTGCAATATGTAATGTGCAAATAAGAGTCCCACTGTCTTCTAGATAACCTTTTGAGGGATGAATTTCAGAGTGCCTAAAACAATATCAGAGTTAGTGTTTAATTTAAAAATATTTTCAAAAGTTTCCAGCTGAAAACAAAGTTTTGAAGCATGTTTACTCTAGAGAATACAGAAAGTTGAAATTTACAGATACAGTGATACTCCGTGCAGCATTTATGACTTTGTAGTATGTTTGCACTTAACAGATCATGGAAAGTAGAAAGTGTATGGGTATCTTCATTCTCCATGCAATGCTTATAATCTGAACTCATTGATATGTCATTCCTGTAAAATTATTAATAAAGAAAGAAACTCTGCAATTGTACAAAAATGTTAATATAATTCAAGCAGTGGAAATTAAACATAAGTAATATAGTGGATTTATCCCTATAAGTATTTAAGTGCCACTTAAATTTTTTAATTGTATGGGTCTTAGAAGACCAAGAAGGCTGATGAAGAATATTCTATGTGGGAGTGTTATAATAACACTAGATATTACACACTTCGGTTCCTTTTGCATTTTCTTATTCCTAGGTGGTTTCTGAATTATGTTCATTTTGGAATTCAAAGACAAAAATCCTTCTTCTGTCAGAGGAAAGTGTATTTGTGATATTTATGATGTTAAATCTTAATATGGTGAAATCTCCATTTAAGGCTTTGCCTCATTTAACGTTCAGTTTCAATGATCCGAAGCCAGTCTCACTGTTAAATTTCCTCTAGTATTCATACCCATGCTTCTCAAAGAAACCCCAAGTTTGGACTTCACTGCAGTCTTAAATATTAGGGGATTAATAAAAATATAAGAAGAAACATACCACACGTCAAAGGACATGTCAGATCGAAAAAAAGTAATTTGATTTGTCTCATTCTCGTCCGTCACACTATTAATTACAAAGTAGATAACTTTCAGTCCAGTATGTCATACTGGACTGAAAGTTATCTACTTGCGAAAAAAAGTGTGTACAGAAGGAACTAAACAAGTTGGTGAACAGGATAAGAGACAAATGCAGAAAGAAGTGGTCAATGACAGACTTCCAAAACGTCTTCATTACCCATACAGACCAAGAGGATATAGTGTGGTCACTCGCCACTAATCAGTTCCTTACTTTAGTTACCTTTTTTTTTAACTTAGTTTTGAATTCATTCACAAATATGTGACATGCAGTGTTGCCAAGCAACCTGGTGTCTGTCTTCTGATGCTGAAATTTCTGCCCTTATGTATAAGTGTATCATTTTTCAAGTTTACAAGTTTTCCTGGTTTCATTCATCCACTGGAATTACTTGGAAGATCATAGGGTATATTTTTACAATAAAATATAATGAGCAGTTCCTTATACTTCTGAACAATGTTTTCATATTCTTTCATTACTGTCATATATCTGTGGTATTCATGAATTTAAGACACATATTTTGCCCATGAGCTTTTATGCTTATCTAACAAACCCATACTGAGTAGAGGTTAGGATAGATTAGGTTAGTTATGCATTATTTTACATTATGATTGTGTTCAGTGAAGTCGACATAAATGTAACCCAAATTCTGAAACAAATGTGTTGGTAGATGTTGCTTGTATATGTGTGCCTAGAGTCGTGCCAACTTTTTGCGGATAGAGGGTGTCGCGTGGTTGGCATAACGAATCCCCACAGCAGTTTATTTCGGTAACTAAACTTCGCCAACAAGCGGCAGTCACTCAGTCGGTATAGTTTGCTTGTGGACTAAAATCACGGAGTTTGTGTTGTTTTTTGTTTTGTGCCCAGAGTCGTGAGTATGTGGCCACAATACAGAATTGTTTCAAAGAAGTTAGTGAAGTAAAAAGAATTTAATTCTCTATAGGATTTGAGGTATATCATTGGTTATGAAGAGTAGTATCATCTGGAATATAACGCCATATAGTTTGTGGAAAGTTAACTGATGTTTCAGAGAAACATATTGCTCGACCTTGAAGATAGAGGTAACATGTTCTTACAAAATGACAGTTGACTTTCAAGGAACTATATGGTGTTATAACCTGGAAAACAGTTATCCTCAATTTACGAGTAATTTTCCATTTCTGTGGGGGGTGAAGAGGAAAGGAATGCCAAGTCAATGACTTAAGTCATCATAAAGTAAATTCTTTAAGAGAAATCATTCTTTCAAATTTCCCTTCAATGCCTCAGATGTAGATGCAACTTACACTGAACTGTCAAACTTCTGTTCTGACCTATATACTCTAAATAAATGTTATGTACCGTGGAAAGCTTTTAACTAAAAGGTAACAAATATTATTTGTAGGTTGAGTTTATTATGACATTTTGGAACATTTACAGCATTAAACCCAAAACTCCAGAATCATGATAAAATATCTGCTCTCTGAGTATCATTATATATATGCACAGTGCCAGTGGACTAATTACCGCATGTGTTAATTTCACAGGATGAATGAAGTGGTGCCCAGTGTCACTGGAGGTTGAATAATCAATTTCAAATAACCTGGAGAACTTGTTATATCCTAGCATCTTGCCTTTGCATGAGTTTCCATGGAAACAAACAAAAGGAGTAGTCATGGCAGCAACTGTTTGGTGTTTATGGTGTGTGGTCTCAACACTTTTTTTCAAAGCTCATTAAAAAGAGAAATCTTGGTAAAATATTAGAAGTGAGTCTGGTACATGAATTATCAGGAAGCTGAGTGATCGGCATTCATCATCATCAAAACGTCTATCAACCCATCCTACAAAGTAAATATACAGTTTCCTTATAGATTATCGTATAAAAGACAGCTTATATTTCTTTCAGAACAGACTTTTTGAAATGACCCATTGTCTCAGTGTGTGTATGCACATATGTCTGTGTGTGTTCCTTGTAGTGTTGGAACTAAATTTCCAAACCAGTTCACATTTTTTGCCATGGATGTGAAGCTACACAATGACTTCTCCCTAGTTTCTAGTTCCCATTTAATAAGCACTTTTGATAAAGTTTTTAGCATCTCGTAGATACTAATTGCACTTCCATAAATACTTATGAGGTCTCTCAGAAATGGTTCCTCCTATGATAAATATGAATCCTATATAATATATTTTACGTCTTTAAGGTCTTTGAACAGAGATTATTTTAATTTGAAATATATTTAACTATATAAATATATAAAAGTGCATATATTTCTTGAAATGTTCAGATTTAACAAGCCTGGCAAAAATGTATTATGTTATCAGCATCCTAAACTAAAGAATATCTTAGATAACTTATCTAAACTAACATATTTCAGCTCCCTGTTTCACTATATTCCTTCCACCTATTCCATGAACATGTGGTAAGTTACTGAAACTAGATTCTTCTAGAGGCATTTCCTCCATACCAATTGCCATGTTTTTCTGAGATCATATGGTACCCTTTTTTCATTGAAACACTGATACTTTCATTGTTTCCATCCAAAATTTACACAGGCATTTACCCACATTCCAAACTACATATGCATGTTCATTATAAAGCAGTATTATACAGTATTAGAGGTATGAGAAATGTTGTAAATATTTGCAGTTCCTGAATGCTACATGGACTTAAAACTGAACTAGCAAGCACAATAAAACCTTCATTCAGCTTCATTATTAGTAAATATTATGTTATTCCTAAATATAGTATTAGTAAATGTATTTGAAATAACGGGAAATCTGACTGTATTACATAACATTATCTTCAAGATGTATGAAAAGGGGTATTATTGGATTAATGTATGGTTATCTTTTTACTGCAAAACTTCAAGATGTTGTCTGTTGGTTCTGTAATAAGTGTGGTATGTTTTCAGTAATATTTTGTATACAAAATGTTACTGTATATATTTTACTACCAGAAATTCCAAAGTTACATATAAAATTGAAAAGTCATAAGAAATTTACAGTTGCATGAAGAAAAATAATGGTGCTAAGCATTTCATCACAGACAAAAAATGTTATTACTTTTACTAATGTGAATGTTCCCTGTTTCCAAATGTTTAATTTCTTCATTTCCAACTTTCAGACTATCTTTATCCTCACAATATTTTGGTTTCTTCTTATCTTGGTCATTTTCTGTGATTCACAATTCTTTCCCAGCCTCAGCCTCCCTCTCCCCCTCCCCCTTCATAGTCCTTCCTCTGAGATTTATAGTTTGTTATGTATATATTTTACTACATCTGACTCTTGTTTATGTGGATTTTTTCCTACTCAAGTCTGTCCTTCACAATTCTTTTCTTCATGTTCTGTTTCTTCTAGTTCTTTCTCTATCATTCCTGCTTCATTTATGTAATTTTCTCAAGTGTTACTTTCACCTCTCTTTTCCTTTTTTTTCTACTTTGGACATCAGAGCATGTCCCAGAGACTCAGATTCTTTGTGTGTATGTGTGTGTTTTTATCACACAAAAAAGTTATTAGTAGTTTAAAATTCATAAATTTTATCAAAGCCAGCATCATCTACCTGAGTGGGGCACTTCCTTTGAAGCATCTGACTGGGTCAAGTTTGCTTCCAATCTAATCTGTCTTGAATTTTAGGAACAAGTTCGGCCAGACTGGCATAATTTTAGGTACCAGTTTGACTTAACCCCAGTGAATCATCTCCTGCAGACTCCTGATCTGTGTTCCGGGATACATTTATACGATTATTGTAGTTGGGAATGATAGTTATGACATCTTAAGGCACTGGAAAAAACTTCATTAAAACAAACAGTGATCTGAAACCAGATAGTTTGCATTCACCCACATCGGTTCCCATTTCTAACCTTACTGCATTGTCACCACCTTCTGTTGCAGAGGCTATGTCACTCTACACTTCACAGGAGAGTAGCATGTCAACTTTGGCAGCAGAGCTGCTCAATGAGAATGTGGAAGGTAAGAATGCTTATTGACAGTAACATTCATTAATGATATCATGTAGTAAATAGTCCATTTTATTACAGTTCTTTATATATGATATTCAGATGTTGTATTAACATAGAGTTTCATAAATCCATATATATCCTGAATCTGTTTTGCTTGTTGATTTGTTTTTTGCAGTTTATTTAATGATGCTGTCAGTATCTAGAATATGTAGTATGAACTAATAGGGAGATTTTGAAGAATGTGTTTGCAGCTGGTCATGGCCTAATCATGGTACTATCCTGGAACTTGCCTAGATAGTCTGAGGAAAACGAAAGAAAACAAAAGTCAGGACAGTGATGTCCTAGGCAGAATTCTGAGAACCTCCAAAATACAAGTCTACTGTTACTTCTGCACCAACCTGCTTGGTTTGATTTGTTCTCTTTACATTATGCATTTATTCATTAATTTATAAAACCATATAATATAAAGAGTTGAACATCTGATGTAAAGAGTATTAATATAATGGAGTTTTAAGTAATATATTTAATGAATTTAATTGGGGATTATAATTGTAATATCCACATATTAGGAATCTTGTATCTGTGTAAACTTTTAATATTTTTATTTAGAAGCATGCAAATAATCTCTGAAGATTGCATATTTATTGTCAAAAATGTCATTAAAAACGACCACTCTAATACATCATTAGATGTATTTATTGTTGTGTCAGTTGATAATATAATATTAACACGACATTGTTTCTTACAGAGCTTGCAGATGCAGATCTGATGAAAGCTATAGACCTAATGACTACAGCTAACCACTACCTTGCTTTGGAGAATGAAGTAATAGAAACGTACCTCCAGCGAATGAGTCCAGAACTGCTTACAGGTAAGTTGCATGATGTTAACATTTTATCTTGTCTTTAGATTAACTTCATGAAATCAGTTGTTCTCAGGATATTGTGATTTTGTATCTGATTTTGTAATACATTTCCTTTCATAATTTTGAGGCACTCATGGATATGTATGTACTGTAAATTTGCAGTACATTAGAATAGAATCAGATGAACATAAATTTAAGCATCGTACTTCTAATTTACTACTTTGCACCAGTACAGAGCTAGAAGAGAGTTGAACAAGTTTTGGAGAATATTTAATGGAAGAAATGGGGAGTGAAGTTAATTTTATGAGAAAAAGTTTCTTGATACATCTTCTTCAATAATGTTATTAAGACTGTCAATTCAGAAAATTAAAGAAGGCTAATAAATACTCAGTCACTTCATTAACTGAGCTGTTCCATTTTAAATCGGTGTCATTAAAACTGTTAATTTGTAGATTTGAGTAAATACCAAGAGGGAGTTTACTGTTTAGGAACAAAGGTCTATAATAATCTATCACAACATGTTAACGATATATCGAGTGACACTAAGAAGTTTGAGGTACAATTAAAACAAATTTATATTTACATTCTTTTTATTCTTTACAGGAATATTTTGGTTATAAATCCTTTTAAGATGCGAGTAGCTGTCTTGCTTTACAGTTAAAAGCAGACAAGACTGTCAGTCTGTGTTCTGGTTTTTAGATGCTTATTTCAGATATACACAATCTTTATATCACTGTATACTAGTCTCTATTTCAATTTATAATATAATTAATGTATGTTATACAAAACTCATTAATGACATTGTATTTTAACTACTGAATTTTTAATTAATAGACTTGTATAAAATTGTACAAACTGTATAAGGTTTGCCATTACTTTTACTACTAAAATTAACTTATTTATTATATTGTATATGTTTCATTCATTCATCAGTAATCTGTCAAGATGACAGGTCCACAGTCTCTTCCAAAACAGTTCCTCCACTTGATGCGATCTAGAGCTTTCTCCTTCAAATGAAAATATCCTCTTCTGTCCCCAAGGTCATCCAGAATCTTCTTACATCTTCTTCCTCGTCTTCTGGTCACTTCTATCCGCCCTTCTATCTTTCTTTCAATAACTTCTTTTAGAAGGCAGTTACCGCGTAAGATATGACCAATCCAATTAGC